TGAGGGCGAGTTCCTCCAGTTTGTTCCCCATGCTACGAGGTCTTATCGAGTGCACTGGGAAGGGTACACCGGGGAAATTTCGTAATCGGCGGTGGAGAACCACGTCAAGGCTGGCCAAGCCTGGGTGGGGAGGAAGAGTTCCTCCTCGATGCGCTGAGGAGCACTGCTTCTGCTGGGCGGAAGCTCGTGCATAGGTTTTATAGGCCAAATGACGTCCCTCGCATTGCGGGTCCCAATTGGTCAACTTTTCACGCCCGCTTTTGGCGCGCGCGGGAAAATAAGAGGAAAAAAGGGGTTTCCGAGGGCGGGGTCAGTTAGCTTTGACTGGGCAGTTATGGCTCGGGTTTGTGCTGACAGCAAAGCTTTTGCGCAAGACAAGGGGTTCTTAACCTTTTTAGACTCAAGGCATCCCTTGAAAAATGCCAGCTCTTAGTGTTCCCTTGTTTTTGACTACAGAAAAATAACAAAGCATCTCTTCTATTGCAAAGAACTTAGGAAGACCACAACAGGTCAGAATGTTTTTAATACTCTGGATTCCTAATTGTAATCTCTGGGTTTACCTTGTGAATCATCTATGAGCACCTAACATTGCTAACAGCACATGACAACTCACAGAACCCTTGAAAGGATCTCAAGGCAACTCAGGGTGCTGCAGCACCCTGACTGAGAATTGCTGGTGTAGGCAAATATCACAAAAGGGAAGCTGCACAAAGGTCGGGGGGGGGGTGCTCACTGTGATCTGTGCAGAGACCTACAGTGGGGTGGCCCTCAGATTCAGCACTGAGATGGTAGGTGGGAAGAACAAAAGACACTCCAGACACAAACTTGTGAGCCATGGCACGTACTCCTCAAAGGAGAAGTGCTTGTATGTTTTAAGTCCTTATTGCTAGTTCACATGGGAGCCTGTTACCCACGTTTTAAAAGAATGGAAATGCCTGAGACTACTATTGAGTAGGTCGAGGCCTAAAAGAGCTTAAACAACTTGAAGAGAAGCAGTGGATCTCCCAGGGGTGGAACAGTGGTGACCCCTAAAGAACAGGAGAACCCCAGTGGTAGACCAGCAGATCTCCAGCAGCAGTGGAGCAGGAGTACTTGTGGCTCTTGGCAGCAGCGTCCCAAGAGCAGCACAGAGGTGACCCATGACAGAGGAGACAAAGGTGCAGCAATCCCCAGCAGCAGAGAACAGAAAGAGCAAAACTACTTCAGCACTCCTGGAAATTTTGTCCAAAAGAGTCTACAGATGGACTGCAAGAGGGAAGACAGTGCAGGTATCCTGGCACAGCTAACAGGAACTTTCTGCAGTGATACCTTACCCAGTTGGTCCTATAATTAAACAGTGTTTTGTTTGACCTAGTAACTTAAAACTTATAGGATCGACAATTTTAAATTCACAATATTATTTAAAAAAATCCTAGAGTTTGAAGAACTAAAACCTCTAAGATTTCTCTGTATATGTTTGTCTATTAGATGGAGTTCCTTCTGAATGAAGTGCACAATGAAACACTATCTGGCATATTCAGTGCAAAGTTCAACATTGGCATGTAAATACTGATAGAGTTTATGAAACAAAACAAACACTTAGAAACAACCTAGAAGCACCATAATTTGTATAGGTAGCTGTAGGTTCTGACTGCATGTATTAAACATATTCTTTAAAAAAAATGTTTTATATGTATTCAGAGCTGCATCTCCCCTTGTCTCTTTAGATACATACATAGCCCTGTCAGCATGTGTAAGAAGACCTATTTGTTCAGTTAAGTAGAAATAAAAGTTTTTATTATTTTTACACCTCCTAGTTCAGAAGATCCAAGACATTTCTATGAGAGGAAGCTAAGTCTACATTAGTCTTAACTCATAATTATTAAACAATCATCATCTGTACATAACACTTCTGGTCTTACACCTGTACAATCCTAGTGTACATATCTTGTCTTGCTAGCAACTCCAAACACCTTGGTGCTTTAGGGGAAAAAACAAATAAACCACACACACACACACACACACACACACACACACACACACACACACACACACACACACACACACACACACACA